CCCCAAAACCCCAAAACCCCAAAACCCCAGTTCACCGATTACAAGGTGAAATAAAGTAATATTAAAACATCAAGATGGAAAACCCTCATCACTGAGCTATCTTTGCAAATTTCAACAGAGGTAGCTTACTAAGACTAACTAATATAGAAAGGAAAAAGTGAACAGAACCTGTTCCAAATTCTTTTAGCCCTTTAGTGCAGTTGTTGGTAAGTGCCCTTCTATAAATGTTTTGCTCCTTCGAAAATCCGAAAATTGGATAGCATGTTATAGCTCAAAGTGCTTTATTATAAAATTTGAAAGCCTTCAGAAAAGCCATATTTACAATCGACTGACCTTTTAAAACATTTTTATATCATTAAGCATCTTTATTTATTAAATTTAGCTCTGGCTCTTATACCCGGATTAGCAAAGATAGGTTCAAGTTATTATAAAATACAGACTTATAAATAAATCATTAAATGGAGAGAGTTCTTTGCTTCTTACAAATATTCCACAATTTTTATAACAAATAAATATTTTTATTAGAAGTCTCTTTGCTCTGTTTCAAGTTCTGGTTCGACCATGAAAAATTAAAATTACAGTGATGACGTTTTATAGGAAAAATTTCCAACCAATATATTCTCAAAATTTGTTGTAATTGGATGACTTATCCAGATTGCAATTTGATGTCCTGATGGATATTATGGGTACAACCAAGGTTGCATCCCTTGTGAAAGCTCTTGAAAAACTTGTTCTAACAGTACTACTTGAGATACATGAGAATCTTTCATGATGATTGATCCTGTCACTTCATTTTGAGCGCATTGTGCAGCCGATGAATACTTTGATGAAACGCTCAAAATTTGAAGAAATTGAATGGATACATGCTTAGGAGAATGTCAATTTAGGCAGCCCTGAATGGCTTGAGATCTCAATGAAAGCTTGGATCTTGATACTCTGAGTTGTGTTACAGATTGACTACCACCTCAAGTTAAGCTAGGAGGTCATCATATGTCTCTCCCTAGCGTGTGTAGAGCATTAGATTACTATATTGACCCACTGAGCACATCAGATATAGAGCTGGGAACCAAGAAGCACCCTTACCGCACCATGAAAGCTGCAAGTTCAGAGATTCTGACATTCCTCTCCCATCAGCCAGTTAGTATCACCTTGTTTGTAAAAGATGTCTACATTGAAGATAAATCTATTTTCTTTTTGAACATCACTCATGTTGCGATTAAAAGTCACCCAGATGTACTTGAGAAAAAGCAGAGAGCTCTTATTATTCCTACTGAGTTTCCACAGATAGGAATCAGTAAGAAAGCTAGGTTCCACTTGCTCCAATCCGTCCAGCTTCCTGTGCTCGGCATCATCAGTCTTGGGACTTTTACTCCTGCAGAGCAAATGAAAATTGGAGGTCAAATTAGCAATGTTGTTGCCAGATCAGGGATCAAATTTGAAAACGTTGATTTCTACAGAGAAGAAATTGACTACAATAAAGACATAATATTTATGCTAGGAGTGTACTTACAGAACAAGACTGCGAGCTTTGGTAAGGTTATCTGGTAATTCATTAAGAAAATATGAAGATAAACATCACAGGAATGTTCTGGACCACTCAAGATCCATTCAATTTGTAAGCATATTTTAAAGTTCATTAATGCTCTGAAATTATCTAAATAAGGCTAACATATTAGAGATATCAAGATGAGGATATCTCTTATTAATAGTTTATGTAGAGTGTTTTAATTTCTTATCTTAGATACGTCAGAAATATTGAGTTTGATACGTACAGTTTAAGGAATGTGTTTGCTTTCTTGATTGATTGTAATTATCCTGAAGCTAACAAAATGCCTTTTATGGATATTGACGGAATCAAGCTTGTAACATCAAAAGATAGAAATGCTGGATATCATCCATCAGGAATAGTTACTAATTTTCCTGGAAATATGACAGTGCAGAACTTTGTTGCAGAAGATCATTACTCCACCATTGACAACTTAGCAGCGTCGTTCTTTTATATAATTCCTCCATCTTGCATCCCAGATGATGACCTTATTCAAATATGAAATTATTCAAACTTCTCTCTATCTGTGAACAATGACAGAGGAAACAAAGTAAATCCAATAGCTATAGATATTTCTCAGGTCCATTACAGGTCTTTCGTTAAGATACTCACAGATATCTCTATGTTTGGGTATCAGCGTACATATTTCACTCCTGCTCTCTTCGGTGGGTCCCCATTGGACACAATTCAGATCAACAGCATTAGTATGAAGGATTGTTTTCTCTTTTCAGATGCTATCAAGGTGAGCAGATTTCAGAAGGTTATCTTTGGAAGCATGGACCATCCTCAAACTGTTTTCGAGAACATAGGGGCATTCACCGACAATTTTCTGTCAATTTTCCAGAATGGGCACGTTGAAGTGAACAACTTTAGGGTTCAAAATATCACAGGCCCATTCAGCAGGAGTCTGTTTTTCATGTACCTAAATAGTCTTCCAAATGCACCAACTAAAATTCAGAATATTGATATCACTGACTATAATTTTTTGAATGGAGGATTTGTTACAACTGTTGATGAGTTGGAAGCAATTGAAGTCAGAAATATTACCATCCAAAATAGCTTCACTCAGCCTGGCATTCCTATCTTTGAAATAAACATGATCAAGAGTATCCAATTTAGCGAAGTAAAGGTCAACGGAGTCCAAGCTATCGACCAAAATGACGAGGACTCAGCCATTTTCAGAGTCAATGAGCTAGATCTACAGTCAAATGCCAACTCAAGTTTTGCCAATATTCAAGTGTCCAACTGTGGAATTTCTGTGCTTCAGTTTGGCTCCTTAGTGAATAGTAACAGTGAGTTCTCACAGCTTGAGTTAAACAATGTTGTGATCAGAGATTCCATATACGCAAGCTCGAGATCTATCATTTCTACTGAAAATCTTGAGAATGATGCTAATTTCTTGTTTAAAGTATATGGCTTTCATGCAATCAATGTTACATTTGTTAGAACTGGAAGCCTGCTTTTATTTAGTCATGCTTTAATGAATCCAGCGATTGTACAAGATTCATTATTTGAGAACCTCACATCAACATCTATTTTAATAGAAAGCCCAGGACTATCAGGAAATACTTTCAATGAAGTGTTATTTCAAAACTGTACTTTCGAGGTAATCCATTCATTGTCCCAATCGTTAGTTATTGTGTCTGGACAATCTTCTGCTAAGTTTCTGAGAAATAAATTTGACTTTGTGACAGTGTCATTTGATAGATCAGGAATGATTGAGGCTAGCTCTAATTCTTTCATCAAATTTATTGACACAAATTTTACAAATAATGCTGCAGTGACCTCAACATTATTCACAGTATCTTCTGGAGCATATGTTGAATGAAACTCATGCTTGATCACCAACAACTTTGCTATCACCAATGCAGTTGTGTCAGTGTCAAGCAATGGTTACTTCAAGTTCTTTGACTCAAATGTTTCTGGGAACATTGCAATCATGGCACCTATTGGACAAATCTTCGATGCCTCACAAATAAGTATTATCGATAAATGTAAAATCCATAATAACCTAGCCATAAGTCCACAGGATTTTGAACAAGAAATTGCCAATGGATGATCTAAACTGTGATTTGTATCTACAAATTTAATCGATCATATTAATGTCAACAAGCTACATCACATTACTTATGGATATTATCTTCTTGAGATTGTTTCTGGGTCACTTGAGATTATCAATCACACAGAAATTTATAACCAAAAAGAGCTTTTAAACTTACTGATGACAAATTGAATCGTTAGGAGCTCAGTAATTCGAGACATAAATATCTCTCAAGCTCCAATTAGAATAACTGCATCAACTTTGGAACTCCATGATTTAATTCTTACCAACATCAATGATAGCTCAGAGAAAGAAATCTTTCTCATAAATGATGAAAGTAAATTCCTCATAAATAATCTCACATATGAGCACTCTAACACAAATCTCCTCCGAGCTCTCGCTGGAGAAATGAACATTAATAACTTAATTATCAAAAATGTTTCAGGTTTTACTAACCTAATGCATATTTACTCACTAGTCAAAGTATTCATTCATTCTCTGACTCTTGGAAGCCTTGAGTCTAATTCTGAACAAATTATATCAATAGAAAATGCTAAAAATGTTATGATAGATGCCTTGGAAGCTGGGAATATTAATGCTACTGTTTTATCCATGATCGGCTCTAATGTAGAATATCTCAATAATATAAATATCTCAAGCTGCACCAAAGCATTAAAAATTGCTGATTCTAATGTTACATTGATCTCGAGCTCAAGTTTCACAAGAAATGGAGAGCAAAATGACCTTTCTTCTGGAGGAGCTATCTCAATAACTAATAGCGATGTCAAAGTGACTCATACTAAATTTGAGAATAATACAGCTCAGGAAGCTGGCGCCATTGATTTTAAATGTGATTCTGTAACTCTCTGTAGTCTTGTGCTGAATAATACTACTTTCACTAGCAATGAAGCTTCAGTGCAAGGTGGAGCTATACACTATAATTTTAAGCACCCTGAAATCACTAATTGAGCATTTGAAAATAATTCTGCTCAGTATGGAGATGATCTAGCAAGTTATCCTGTTAAAGTAAGAATCCAAGGGCAACCAGACTCTCTTATCAACTTCTCGAATATTGGCTCTGGAGTGAAGATAGGATACCCAATAATATTTGCTTTGTTTGATTATGACAACCAAGTTATGAATCTCAATAGCAAGGATAATCTTAGAATATTCTCACCCTCCCATTCTAACTCAACGATTAAGGGCGTAAATTCTGTTAATTTTAATGCTGGAATTGCCATTATGGAAGGAATCATCTTCGCTGATCAGCCTGGGACGAAAAATGTGGCATTTTACACTTCGACTGATGCTATTGATCGAAAGAAAATATCTGAAGCATTCCCAAACACAGATTTCAACAGCAATATCACAGTTGATTTCCGGTTTTGTGAGCCTGGTGAAGAAATCACAGCTCAAGGAACTTGACAGGAATGAGTTGCTGGAACATACTCTCTCGAATGGAATTCCACCAAGTGCACCAAATGTATGGACGATGCTGTCTGACTCGGAAGAAATCAAATTAGCGTCAATCCAGGGTACTGGAGAGCTTCTCAAAAGTCTTCTTCAATAGTAGAATGACTTGTCAAGGAATCATGAAAAGGAGGATATACAAATTCTGAATTGAATCCAATCAACTGAGATGAAGGATATAAAGGAGAATTATGCTCTCATTGAGTTGTTAATGACGAAGTTAAATATAGAAAAGTTGATAACTTTAAATGAAATAAATGCCCAAGTCCGATCATAAATGCTATCTTAGTAGGTGGATTATGTATAATAGTATTCGCATTTATGATGACCCTCATTGTTATTAACATTAACAAGACAAAGGAAAGTGAACTATCTGTGTTGCTAAGGATCATGACAAATTATTTCCAGCTGATATTTACTTCCCTCTCTCTTTCAACAAGTTATCCAACATCACTGATTTCATTCTTTGAAATAGCCAAACAATTTGGAAATTCTTCGGACACATTCTTGTCTTTTGATTGATTCATCCAAGACACTGAGATTGAAGGAATATTTGGTTCAAATGCAATATTCAAGCTATTCCTTCTGATGCTACTTCCTTTAATTCTTTTTGCTATTGTTTCAACAATTTGGATCATAATGCATCTACTGAAGAGCAAATATGTCAAAAGTTTACAAAGAAATCTAACAATCTCTTTCATCAGTATTCTTTTCTTGCTTCATCCAAAGCTGACTGAGCAGAGTCTTGGCTTGTTCAGATGCATTGATTTTAGCCATGATGACAGTAGAGTCAGGATTGATACTAATATTAGATGATACTCCAGAGAGCATTTCCAATGGATATTTATGATATCCATACCAATTATCATTGTTTGGGTTATTGCATTGCCTCTTGTAGCGTTAGTTTTACTTCATTTCAATATTAAGAAAGCTACTGAAAATAAAGTCAAACAGTATTTCCTGATATTATACCAAGGTCTGAAAAGAGATAAGTTCTATTGGGAGTTTGTTAACACAGCAAGGAAAATTCTAGTATTGCTTGTATTTCCTTTGCCAGTATCAATGAAAATGTTAGTTTCAGTAACAATTCTTTTCTTACTGACGCGCTTACAAATAGCGCTTCAACCGTACACAGATGTAGATAACAACAAAATCGAAATACTGGCAACTAACGCAGGCATCACCACCATCCTCAGTGGACTCCTATACTCCCAACCTGACGACATCAACCACCTAAACCTATTCGGCTTAGTCCTATGCATCACCATAAACACCCACTTCCTCATAAGCTGGGTACATCTCTTCTCAAAATCATTCCAAGACTCTTCAAAACCATGCCAAATTGTAACCTTCCCTTCTACCTATAGCTGTACAATTTCTTAAATTTTGTTCTATGCAAGAAGCCAAAATCCCCAGTCCCAGTCACAAATCCTTCTAAGCCAAGGAGTCCGAGGAAAGAGCAGAGGTACAGGATCCATAAGAGAAGGATTCAGTTTGGGAAGCAAGCTAGGGGCTCGAATAAGAGAGTTGGAGTAAGAAAGGATAGAAAGAAAACTCACAGGAAAAAAGTCAAACAGTAATCGCCTGGAATAATACTTTAGAAATGAAGATATGCTGTTCGACAAAGTCAAGTCATCAAGATTTGGAGAGATTAATGATTATGTAAGTTAACAAAAAAATAAAAAATAAGAGACATTAAAAATCAATTTCATCCCTTCTTTTCATCAACCCCAAATTTCCAAAACTCCCATCCCAGATCTCCCAACCCTCAATCTACCACCCTTCTCTGCCTAATATCCTCTCCAATCTCCCCTCATCACCCTCTCTCCTAGAAAACCAGCTCCAGACTTCAAAACCCCAAACAGCTACACAGATACTCTGCCTAACAATATTCCTCACTAAAGAGACCTCAACTTCCACAGAGGATTTCCCATAGCCCGGCTTACCACTGAGCTTAAGGAAATCTTCACTGGAGGCGCCAAGTTTTGACTGGGAAGAAGATTTAGATGGGTAATTTAGGGGTTTAAGGGAATTTAGGAATAGAGGAAGAGATAGTGGGTGGTGTGGGGATAGGTAGGGTATGGGGGGAGGTAGAGGGGTTTTTAGGGGGCTGTTAGGGTAGGAGAGAGAGGGGTGGATTTAAGGGGTTTTAGCTTTGAGGGAAGGTTTAATGATGGCTTTGATGGTTTGAAGGAGTTTAGTTTGGAGGTAGGAAATTAGGATAGTTGTATACTATATTTTTATTATTGTGGTAAGGTAGGTCTCTGGAAAATATCCTCAGGCCACTGTTAGGGAGGGAGAATTTGGGGGAAATAGATTTTCTAGGTGGTGAAAGTGGCAGAGAGAAAGTTATGTCTAATCCTAGAAACTTTTGTTAAGAAGGATCACTGGAAGAGGAACCATGGAATAGGACTGTTATCTATTCTTTTTAAGATCTCAAATTTGATGTCGACAAGAAGGTAACTAGCATCTAATTCATAAATGACCATCATTGTCTAAAACCTGTAAATCTCCTTTCAAAACTCCTGAAGTATCTTAAATCCTCCCACAAATGTTTATTTTCAATTGTTTAATTCGCTCTTGGGGTTTTGGGGTTTTGGGGTTTTGGGG